GCCACAGTCGCCGCAAAGTAGGTTTGTTAAGTTTTAGATGTAATTTAGTTGAATAATAAATGAACATATAAGGGGTCAGAACTGTTTGTTCAATAGTGCGGTCAGTTAGATTTGGTCAGAACAGAGCTATAAATCATACATCTTTGCTCTACATCTCAGCCTTTATTGCCCTCAGCTGTGTAAAAACTTGAGGTTATGAACTTACTTTTGAAATTAAAAAATATAAAATGATTGTCCTACTTTCACTCTATCCTGACAGTAGTACATGAGACAGATAACCTGTGAAAAAAACAGGTTCCTCTGGCTCCTCCTAGCGCTCCTGGTAGTATTTACAAGAATCCACCAGGCCTGAATGAAAACAACCAATCAGCTTACACCGGAAGTAGCCTAAACTCGCTGTCCTGTCACTGGACTTCCGTCCTCGTCCCCACACAGAGTTGTCGGCAGACCTGATTCGCGGTCTTTAACATGCCTTTCATAGACTTCCAGACGAATTTACCGGCCGGCTCGTTCTCGGAGGACTTTGTGAAGAAGCTGAGCTCGTGCGTCGCGGCTGCTCTGGGGAAACCCGAGGACGTGAGTACCCCTCTACCCCTCTACCCCGCTTCTCTGACACTTTACTGGAGCTTTACTCAATGTCAAAGCTGCTGCCGGTTTACATTAGTACTGCCCTGCAGCTGTGCACATGTGCCTGTCAGACAGAAACCTTTACATTAATTTGCCACAAACTCCAAACCAAAGCAGCCTTTGGCTCTAGCGTGAATGGAACAGAGGCGTTTCCAGCACGTCCACTATTACTGCCATATTATTGGACTGTATCCTCGCCCCCTGAAAATTCTTGATTGTAAGTGGCTGAAAGGTGTCTATTCATCTCTACTAACTATACAGTGTAACTGGACACCTGTGACTCCTCTGCATGAGTACATAAGAGCTAACTGCCCATGAAGACCTGTTGGATATGTGTGTGAATTCTTGTCCAAATCACAAGACTGTTGAAATAATGTATGTTAGCTAGTGGAGCTGATGGGGGGAGGGGGGGAATAACTGCCTTGTGTGCTTCTTTGACCCCTCGCCATTCATTACAATCATGAACTTATCTGTGTTATCTCTTACAGTGAGATTAGAGTCCTAAGCCATTTATGGATCATGTACCAAGGTTGGTTACCAAGTTGTATGTGTCTGTGGACCTTGGGTTAAGTGTCATATGCCATTAGAGCAGCAGCAGTAGTATTACTGTACAGTGACAGTCACATACAGTGCAGTCACATACAGTGATGTGCAGTGACATACAGTGCAGTGACATACAATAACATAGTTACATACAGTACAGTAACAAATGGTTACATATAGTACAGTGACATACAGTAACATACAGTACAGCAGTATGTGTGTGTGATATAGCTCACATATGTTTACTATATGACTTTAACTAAGGATTATTTTCATTATAGATTAACAGACTCACACAGTTACCATAAACGGTTCTGCTCTGAATTACTGGATTTGATGTTTCAAAACCCCCCCTTTCACACAGTTAAAGTAAAGGCTCTGTCGGGTAGAGGCCAGTGCGTTGTTTAAGGACGCACTGGAGAATGAACTCTGACCTTGTTGCCGGGGAAATGTGCTCACTTTGTAAAACATATATGGCTTTCACATGAAGTACTGTGTTTTTTGTTTCCCTCTCTCTCATGTTTTACCCTCACCAATATTATTTGTCTTTCAGAGGATGAATGTGGTGGTGAAGGCTGGGCTGCTGATGATGATAGCTGGCTCTTGCTCTCCGTGTGTAATGCTGTCGGTGTCTGCTATTGGCGTGACTGACACTGCTGACAAGAACAAGGAGCACAGTGCCAAGATCTTTGAGTTTCTGACCACAGAACTTCGTCTGCCAGAAGACAGGTGAGCTCTTAGAGGTACTGTCACTGTAATATGGTCTGACCAGGCCCACCGGCCACTGTGGCGATACAAAGGTCGATGGTTGCCCCTTAAAGATCCAGTGTGTAACATTTAGGAAGATATATTAGCAGAAATGGAATATAATATTCATAGGTAGGTTTTCATTTCTGGATATTTGTTCCACTTCCCTTGCTGCTGTAACTGCTCGATTATCTTATCTTAAAAAAACAACCTATAAGGCTATATATTATATTATGCTATGTTATTTTATATTATATGGCCACCTGCTGGAGGCAGGCTATCTTCAAAATGTGGTTGTTTTTCACCAAATACGAGCCTAGCATGTAACATATTTAAGTACAGTAAAGGAGACAGTTGACCAAAGCTTGCTCAACTGCTATTGTGGCACAGAGAAAAAAAGAGCGGGACTTAGGAAAGGCCAATTCCTAGCAGCTGGCCTGGGTCTGACTCTGCCCTTGTAGTATAAACACAGCTCTGAGTTCAGCCCACAGGTCTGTAGGTTTATCTTATAATTAGCCTCAATTCTAAAGCAAACTTCCTTCCAACTCAAACTAACAAAAAATTTGTTATAATTCAATTATTGCCCAGCTTGGGTTCACCCATTCAGATAACAATAAGGCTTCAGAACAATCTCACAGTTACCAGATCATGGTTCTTTATATGAACCAAAGACAGTTGTGTCTCACCAGATACACTATGTGACCTTGTCCCGGTCTTGCTGTTATCATCAGTCTTTGTTTATAATATGGCTGCACTCTTTTTGTCTACAGACAGGCAGAACTCTGTTATGCAGAATGAACCTGCATGCATTCCTTTTATTGTGTCAGATGTATACTGTGCATGCTTTCTATGTCTGTGTTTCTGCTCTGCAAGTTGTCTAACAATGCAGACTTATGTAGTCCATATTACTAACATATATACCCACCATTGGATTGTTTTGTATGTGCATTTGCATTTTGAGGCTCTTGTGTTTAAGCTGCAGTTGGTAATGTTTATAAAAATAATTGACATATTTGCTTTACTTTCACTGTATCCTGAGACAGATAATGTGTGGAAAATCAGGTTCCTCTGGCTCCTCCTACTGGTCCTGAACAATAACAAGCAATCAAAAGCCAAGAAAGATAGTTGGTTACTGAGTCTCATTCGCAGAGTGTCAAATACAGACCCTGGGAATGAAACTCAGCAATCAACTATCTTCAAGCCTCCAACCCAAAAGTGTCTGTTTTTCTGCTCTGATTGATCTTATTTTTTACAGATTATCTGTCTCATGTACTACTGTCAGGATATAATGAAGGTTTCAGCAAATATGACAAAAAATATTTTATCTACTGCAGCTTTAAACATTGCCTGAAAATGTAATAAGGGGTTCCAGAATGATGCTTGTCTTAACATGTTTTATTATTGCATGCTTAGAAATAATCTTTATCTGTGTAGTAACTCACTCTTGGTTAATAATTTCACAGGAAAGAGATTTATCAGATGTTAAACTAACTCTGCAAGACCCCAGGAGCAGCACTCCTTAATCCTCACACCAGTAAAAAGTAGCGCAGGGACCTGGGGCCTCATGTACTAAGACTTGCGTGGATTTCCTACTAGAATGTGGCGTACACTGAAAGAGTGAAAGTTCCGTACGCACAAAAAAATTCAGATGTATCAAAACGTGCGATACAAAAGGGTGCATACGCAGAATCCCACGCAATTGCTCTTTGTTACATCGATCAACGTGAAATTTGAGTCGCAACGCATGTTCACGAGCACAACGCTCCCCCTGTCCCTCTCCCCTCAATTTTACACCTGATCTTGAATGTTTGCGTGGAATTAGTTATAAAAAGGCACTTAGATAGTGCTGTCTTTATGAAATGGCAAACAGCCAGGGAACAAAAGAATGAAATTTTTAGGTAGTGAATTGGACGCGTGTGCTGACGGAGGTAGAGCCAAAAAAATTATTTTCTTTTGCGTGGCACAGGCAGTTCAAACTCTAGTAAACTAGGTCCGGAGAACGCACTGCACAACAGAGTTGAAAAAGGCTCGAACTAGTGTCGGAAAACTGTTGCGAGATCCTTTTGTCAACTGGGCTGTTTTTAGGAATACCCATTCTTGGTCGATATGAAGACATACTTGTGCGCCATCGCCAGAGCCTCTCAGGCCACAGGTGGGTGGTAGTCTCCTGTATTACTTTGGTAGGACTGAACATACTGTACTTGGTGTATTTTTGGAAAAGAGTTACGTATACGTAAGACGTGGATCCACCTGCTCCAAAGTTGTTGAGCGCTAGTTGTTGTTGTGTGTGAGCCATGCTGATGAGACGGCGGCACATCGGTCCGCACTTTATTGTTAACTGTTAAATAAATATGCCAAGAGGCTAAAGATAATTCAAGTGTGTTCAACTTTCTCCATACGCAGTAGAGGACTGCGCGCTGCAGATAACCCCTTAACACAAATAATCTGCAATGATTTAAATTGTGTAATTGCTTGATTGATTGATAAATAATGACTTTCCGCATCCATGCAACTGTCCCTGAAGCATATTTTTGTTGAATTTCGGCTATGCAATTCAATGCATCGCCTCTCGCTGAGTGTCGAACTGACAACTGACATAAGCAAAAAATATGTACGTACGCCAGCAATGAAGCTGCCGTGGAGGACCGCACATTCTCAAGTTCAGTTCACCTTTAGTACATCCGAACGTGAACAATGGTGTACGCACGAATTTTGTGCGTATGCAACGTTAGTACATGAGGCCCCAGGCCTCTGCAGGATCTGCCGTACTCTGGGTCCAAATACATGAGACTCGGTTTAGCTAAAAGCACAATTAAAGCTTGGTTCTTCTACTCTTCTTTTTGTGCCAACTTACTTCTTAATCCTCTACCAGTAAATGTATCAGTAGTCTGTGCATTTATTGTGTTTTCATTTGAATCCCATCACCTTCAAATTATCAAAGTATCAAAGCTATGCTAGCAGGGATTCAGTTTCACATTCGATGTAAAGATCCAGCATCCCAGAGTCTTCTGGGAAATCCTTCCGTTCAGCTGCTCCTCAAGGGCATTAAAAAGGCGCATCCTTCAGGCAATGATAAAAGACTCCCTCTCACAATTTCATTGGTGCATACATTGGTGTCAAGGTTAAGGCAAGGTTCTTTCACACTTTATTTCAATGTAATGTTGGAAGAAGTTCTGTTAATGGCTTTGTATGGGTTTCTCAGGTGTGTTGAATAAACTTGCAGATCTCTCACGATTGATCCTCAGCATGATCTCACCTTCTCAGATTTACCCTTAGAAGATCACATGTACTCTATATTTCTGAAGCACTCAAAGTCTGATAGATCTTGCCAAGGCACTCAAATTTTCATTGCCAAGACTAAAACTAACTTTTGTCCATTCTCTTCCATGATGAAATTCCTGCATCATCGCTCTCAAACCCATCTATTGTCTCCCCTGTTCATTGTGGATGGTTGCAAACCCATGACGCGATCCTGGTTCTCCTCAAAGCTGCGTGATCTCTGCCTGAGCTGTGGGCTAACCCCTGAACACTATCCCTTCACTATCTAAGATTGGTGCAGCTACAACCGCAGCTGTCCATCTGCCCGCATCAACCCTAAAATCCCTGGGTTGCTGGTCATCCTCTGCCTACCAATGCTATGTCAGGCTCCACAGTAAAGGACAGGAAATCCTGTCTGCGCAAAAGCTCATGAGCTCCTGCTCCCTTTAATGCACCAATAAATATTTGTATCTGCCTTACCTCATAATTGTATATTTGCATATCAGGTGGTTGCTGGGTATAGAGTATTTTTTTATTCACCATGGCATCCACACATAGTAGTTCACTAGGTAGTGTAATCTGCTGGGACCAAGGTGCTTCAGGGGAATGGCCACATGGCGGCCAAGGTGCAAGGCCAAGGTCACACATAGCAGTTCACTAGATAGCATATTCCACTGGGGCCAAGGTGCTTCAGGGGAATGGCCACACCGCGGCGGTGTAAGGTCCACACATAGAATGTTTCACTATAGTGTCAGACTCCATTCCGTGCTGTTTTGGGGGTTAAGGTATTTGCACATCACTCCCCCAATATCTCTGTAAACATTTCTGCAGGGAGTGATGAGGTCGGAGCCTAGACGCCAAAATCTAATATGTTATACTGCTTAATAAACATTTCAAACGTGAGTTGGCTGACTGAAATAATTTTATGTTCATAATGATCTTTACATTTCTGCATCTGTTTGATTTGTCTGTGCATCCCCGGTATCCACAAAAGTATCCAGATAAAATAATACTAAAGTGATCTCTACAGATCCTGATCAGATTTAAGCCTTATATTCTCCTGGCTGCTTTGTGTTAAGGCTCTTTGAGGCTGACTGTAAAGGATCCAGGAAGAATTCTCACTGCAACAGCTGTATCCTTTTATTGTTATGACCACATTTACACCATTACAGCTAGATTGGCTGTGTGGTTAACAGGCTCCATATTCCCAATCCACCATTCACCAAACACTGATGACTCCAGTAAGACCATTTGAAGAGAGAGGACAACATTTCATTTCAATTTCCCACAAAACTCATCTTGAAGTCTCCACAAAGAGAATGTTCATCCTCCCACAGAAACTTCCAGCCTCCAACGTCAGTGTCTACAGTTTATAAAGTTTTGCTCCAGATGCTCAGTGTCTTGTTAGAGCTGAATGTATGGAGGATAAAGCCAGTGGTCACTTGTTGGGTTTAATTGTTTTGTAGTGAAGTCAGCCTTGCTGCTCTGCTCTCTTCTTGCCTGTCTGGCTCGGCAGAAGCATCAGAAGCTATTTGTGCTGCTTCATTGATTCTTGTATTAGCTGTAAGAGCAGCATGAGTGCTTACAAAACTGTCTTTGTCCTTGGAAAGAACAACTTTAGATGGTATAGTTTTGGCACCTGTACAAGCTAAATGCATGTTGATCTCAATGCATTCACCCTCCTTCTGTCTGACCACCAGAGACCAGCGGACAGAGATTTGCACTGAGCTCAGTTGTCTCCTCCAGAACCAGCAGCTCTGTGTGTTTAAGGGTTATAGGGCCTCTTCAGGCAGTATTAGCCTCATATCTCTGAAGGACAGAGCTAGCTGTAAGCATATCATCAAAGCAGTGAGAGCAGGGTTGAGAAACTGGCAGAGTGAGAAAGGACTGTAACTTTATAATAAGAGTAGAATAAATAAATGTTGTAAAAAGAAAACAGAATTATTTTTAAACCCATCTCCATCTTGTTCTTTCATCATCCCAGATGGAGGATGTCAGGCTGCTAAATGATGCTTGTTTTTTTCTCACTGCCATCAGCCTTCATGCTGCGAAACACACAGATTAGCTGCCACACAAACTTTCACAATTCAATAAGATCACTCACTCATTAGCCTCTCTCTGTTTGTAAAGCAAATAGAAAGAAAACAGTCTTCTGCTACAGGATTAGTTTTTCTTCCCCCTAAAGTTGTCAATGTTGGTGGCTCTCAAACTCAGTCTGACTCTAAATATCGAACCGATTACAGCCACACAGAGCGCTGCTTACTGTATGGGTCACTGGATACTTTCTTTTATTGAGAATCATTTAAAATGGTCTCAGGGAAAACACATGATTCTAACTGTCAAACTACAAACTGATAACACACAAGAGGCTTGTTGTCTTTAGGAAGCATTGTGTAACATCTTTACTCTTCCCTGTTTCTTTAATTACTTCCATGTGATAACAAGTACAAACTTTTTATTAATTTTATTTCTTTCTGCTGAACCAGAGACTCTCATTTATATGCTTTCTGTTTGGCTTTTCTTCAGCCATCAGAATAAATGCATAGTTTTGAGGGTCCTGCCGTGTGTGTGTGAGTGTGTGTGTGTGTTTGTGCTGTAGCCTACCTATATAACAGGGAACTTCAGCGTCGTCACACACCAACTAACAGGGGACTGACATACTAACAGGGGACTTTTTTTTTGGGTCCCCTCTTAGTCATGCTTTAGATCAACCTAAAATC